GATACGTACTGCTACAAGGAGTATTGTGCTATTGTTCAGTTTTTTGGGAATCGCTTGGGCCCGCCTTCAGGTGTCGAGTGGAGGTTGAGTTATGCTTTTTCCGCGACCAATAGCCGTTGGAGCGGGCGGATGGGAATTCGGAGATGGCGCAGATGGAGGTGGGCACCGTGCTACTGGCGCCTGTCACTTTATAAACACCGACAGTCAAGAGGACAATATGGCACTACAAGCTGTTCTTCTAGCTAGATTTCTTAGTGGTGGCGCGCCCCACGCCCATCTGATTATGTCAAATGGTCAAAAGTATACCACCTCAGGACTGACTCAGCAGATCAATACCATCCACGAGGTGCAGCTACGACATCGGGGCGGAGACGTGCAACAAGCTCAACAAAAGATTACTTCCGTTAAAGCTAAGGGATACCTATCTCAGATGCACAGATGGCAATAAACATTCATTCACGTTATCTGCTATCGTGATTGTTTTTCTACTATTAAAACGTTCGATTCAGTTGGGTTTTGCGTGCCGTCTATTGGGCGACAGATATATCACCAGCCTCAAGGATGAAGCTGTGGCAATATGTACGCAAGAAACTAAACTCTACGATGGTAACTAGGATAAATGACGACTGGTCTAATTATTTAGCTCTATTGACGTAAAAGTTGTTGGTGAACTCGGACCAACGATAGATTGTCGATATCTGTAAATCTATATACGCAGTTGTTTTTAGCAAATCAAATCTGTCTAGTATTCCTTTTTTGTCTTTATCATCTTCCTGCAGAGGCTTTAACCTCTATCCGCTGTGTATGATATAGATACAAAAGGGCACCGAATAACATAGAGTTTGGGTAAAATTAACAAGCAGCGCATATGAGCTGCTCTCAATTTGTTTTTTCTTCCGATCGAGTCATTTGCATATGAAGGAAGTTTTTCTTTCTTGGAAGTTGAATATTGGCGATTGGCTTCCTAAGGTCTAAAAAAATTGAAGTTAACCATCCTTGAGCTTGTTTCGTTTATTTCAGCTCGAGTCAATCAAATCGTCTTTCACATGCGCTTTATGAACAGGTACAGGCATATTCGCGGATTTCCTGAAGATGCTATATTTATATGCCATAGTAGTTAGGACGGGTGCCCCAGTACAATAGAAGCGTTACTTCCCTCCATTCTAAGGAAAAAAAGCGGATTGGCCTATTTTTTATGACAAATGACAACTGTTCGTCCAATGAGTGCTTCATATCTAGATCGGTTGGCTATCACGACACGACCTGTCCTGCAAAGTTTCCTATTCATCTGGAACAAATTTCTTGCTCTGTTAAAATTACTTTTCCGTTAATGTATATAAATATCCGGGACTGTGTATATATATATATGTATAGTCGCCAACAGTTTATTTGTTTCTACAAAAATGATAGCTCAGCTAACTAGCAAGCTGCTAAGCCAAATATCGTCTGTCTTTAATTGTCGTTAGGTCGCTTGACCCTCTATTGCAAATTTTCACTGGTATCGATTTTGCAGTTTTCCAACCAGTAAAGGGCACTGTTACTATCTTGACACAGGCATACATCCTTGAATCGGATAAATAAGACTATAATATAACGCTCAAAGAGTAAATTTCGTTGATTTTTTCTTCCGTAAATACGTTCCTCTAGGGAAATGTTTCAAAAGCAAAAACTGCTTTGCTTTGAATCGCACTGAAATTTTGTTATTGGTAGCGAAGCTTTACATATTACTTCTCACACATATGTTTTTACGAACAAAAATGGCGGACTGCCTACGGATGATCTGCTATTCTCCCAAACTTCTGCGCTTCTACACACACACACACACACCTCTGGCGACATTTATAAACGTTATTCTTTTTTGACGTAGTAAAAACAGACCGGAGCTGTAAACAAATTATTACCTTAAAGACACGAGCAGTTAGCAATCCCGATGGTCAGGGCGATCAACAGAGAGAGATACACTGATATTATCTGCATGTTCATGGCCGTTTCTACTTTTTGTGCTACCGTTTAGCACGATGGATTGGCAACGTTAACAAGTGGCGAAAGTGAGGAAAAACTGCCCGCGCAGGCCACATAAAACGTTCTGAACTGTTTACAATAGTCAAGCGTGGGTTCATCGTGCGATTCTTCTACGATAGTTTAAAGCTGACTTTCAAATGTTAGTTCCAGTATGCACGTTAACTCGAGACGTGTCTCTGTTCTAGCTGGGAGATGTGCATGTTTGGGAAGCCAACGGCTGGGCCTCTGAAGTAGGTTGGGCCGTTGTGGTGATGGTGCTTCAAATCCGTTGCCAACTCGACGCAAGGGGACGTAATCATTACGGGATCCCCGGGAGGAGGAGCTTCGCACGTTGTCCTTATAATGTCGGACGGACTGCACTATATTCAGTCTCAATTTTAGGAGGGCAACGCTCTTCGTGGTACTATCCATAAGACGTGAACATTGATGCCCGTTAAGAAGATTGCATTTATTAAATACCAAAACTCGTAGCAGTAACAGTTTAAAATGGCAGTTCCTTACTTTACGATGTCATAAACGCAGACTATGCGTCGGAGGAGGATACTCCTCGTGAAGACCGAACAATTCAGGGCGCAACAGACGCAGGAATATCATTAAAAACCATATCGAACAGACATTTACTAATATTATTATTGTTATGTAAACAGAGCATATGAATGAACATCTTCAAGATTAGATAAAAGAACTATAGATAGATACAGCTTGTCTAACTGCGCATTATCTGTCGGCAGGGGTGCAGAATATACTGATAGGCAAGAACTCAATTTGGAGATAACGAAATGCGAATGTTCCTACAATACAAAATGTTAGATGCTGCTCTTCGTACTAATGAAAACAATAAAGAGCCTTTAACACATGTGTCTTCCTTCCTGAAATATAGTTAAGTACAAAGCTGTGTGAGCAATAGTTTAGTAAGCTTAATTGAAATTCTTGACCGTCAGAAACGATGAAAAAATTTAATTTTATCTATCGTAATTTATATTCAGTTAAGTTTCCGAGTTCAAATTGGTAGAACTGAGTGGCAAAACTTAACAGACAATTCAGAGGGAAAGAGCGAAAGGGTTCAGCGGATGACAATGTTACGAGCTCACTAGAAAGTACTTGTTATCTAATAAAGAGTGACATAACTTGCCAACCGTATGTCTTACTTCGGAGAAGGGTTGTGGTCCGTATTTGCCAGACTTTGAGGGAAATCAACGAGAGAGTCAATGCTTGCAGACTAAAGGATATCGCTACCTTATGTCAGAGGCTTCCGATCATCCTACCAGTGGCTAAACCTTCATCATCAGGTGCAAGGGGTGATAGTAAAGACTTCTATTCAATATCTTACTGAAGAGTGTCGAATCCCTGATATCGTCTAACAGTGTATTTCTCCGATATGTTTTCCCGCGTGATTTTCGCTTAAAAAGTCACCTCATTATCAACGCACACATAATTTCTAAGAAAAGTCAGTCTCCTCAAAGATAACTCACATGCGTTGGGGAAGGTGGAACGAATTTTCTTTTTTTTTCTTTTATATTGTTTCTGTTCATATGTGGTTCTGGCTTTTCGAATCTAGTTTTGCTAATTAAAATAAATTACCCTTAAGCTGTATTAATAATGGTCCTATTACCTATGGTAAACCATCAGATGTACGCTATTTATGCGGACGCAGCAGCAGCAGCAATGGACTAGAGTAAGATGCAAGTGTGTCTACACCGAAGCGACGACACGCCGATCACTGACTGACTGATGGAGGATGCTACCTAACAATTTTTGTTATTTAGTAGTAAATTAACAACAATACAGTCAATACGGTCATCTTAGCTTTAGTATTTTATATACCAAAAGTATAAATAGCACATATATATATATCGTAGTAGTTCGAATGGTATAGATATACTGATGGGAACTTGATTCTTGTTGCATGGCGTGGCTACCGGTCTTGCGGGTGGCAGTTTATTCTCGTTGTGAGGCGCGAAGAGTGCAGCTTTAGAGGCAAGAAGCCGGTGCTACTGCCGTAGGCTAGAGAAGACGGATCGCGCGAAATCATTTGAATCTGTTCGATGCTTTTATCGAGTGAAACAAATGATCATCAAGCAGCGCCGAGTTTTCACCTAATGTTACTGGTCACCAATGGTCAGTTCAGTTTCCCAAATAAACAGTGCTAGATAGCATGTGGCTGTCTTAGTCGTCATCGTCGCCGCCCCCGCCATTGTCGCCTTCGTCATCGTCACCAGCATCAGCAGCAGCATCGTTGTGATTCAGCGTTGGTTGTGGTGTTAGTGGTGGCATTCCTTGTGGTTGTGCTACTGCTGTGGTGTAGACGATGTGTTGATATAGTGGCGCTCCGTCTGTATCCCCCAAACTCTCGCAAAAGCTGCGTATTGCCTCTGCCAGTCTGTCTGTCCTGTTGGCCGCTCATATGTTGGCCTCTATCGGTTAGTCTATTGGTTTCTGTCTGTCGAAATGTCTTGAGAAACGCGAGGACTTACGATGTCGTGGAGAGGCGTGATCTCTGCTTCGCGACTGAATAAACCGCTCTCTCTCTCTCTCTCACGTTCTCTTGCCGACGACCCATTCGCCGATCATCGGCATCCTTCGAGCATCTGCGAATGCTAACGCAAGATAGGCTGCTCGGCGTAGTGCAGTCCTCAACTGCCGGACCACTAAGTAATAGCCAATTGACGTTAGACGACGAACTCTCCTCTGCCATAGTGGAACCACGAGTATGGCAGCGGCGGTGCCACGAGTACCTGGCGCGCTTTGTCTAATCTTACAGCTTGAATAGAAGCTACCCGCGCTGTATGCGGCGGGATAGCCGTCTTGACGTACCGATACACGCTAGAATCCTATGCAGTCGGACCGTTCTTGCGGCGATCTCCGCCGTTGTCACGCAACGAATCTCAGTCAACGTCAGCGACATCCTCAATCGAAACCGCAGGGGGGCGGCCGCTACAACAATCGCAGTAATAGCCTCTACAGGATTATAGAAAGTAGTAGCAGCAGGAACTAGCAGTAGGAAGACGACACCAGATTGTCCTGGCAAGTCGTGTTCTGATGATGTCGAGGCTGCCTGGCGCTTCGGTGCTATTGCTTCTCATGGCGCTTGTTGGTTCACTTCCGCTGCTTGTATTTTTGCTATTCCGGTTCGTGCTACCCGCCGTCGAACCGACAAACCCATGGCCGCCAGCTTTACGCGTCTCCGAAGTGACAACGAAACCGGATACCGATAAAAATGTGTACCGAGGTCTTGATCTTGCCAACGGCATAAAGGTTCTTTTGGCATCGGACCCTAACGTGGAGAAGGCGCGTGCCGCTCTTTGCATAATGATCGGCTTTATGTCTGACCCATGGGAATTACAGGGTCTTGCACATTTTACGGAACACATGGTGTTCATGGGGAGTCGTCGATATCCGGACGAGAATCGCGTGTTCAGCTTCCTACATGGTCATGGCGGCCAGGTGAATGCGTTCACCACTAATGATGCGACTTGCTACTATTACGAGGTGGATGCCGAGTATTTGAGTGAATCGTTGGACATTTTCGCTGACATGATTGTCGACCCACTTTTCCCTGAAGAGACAGCCAAAAGGGAGATACACGCCGTAGACTACGAGCACAAGAAAAATATGAAAGAGGAACTGTGGAGAGAGTCTCAGGTGGAAAAGGTTACTGCTGATCCCAACCATCCGTTTGTAAAGTTCTCTACCGGAACAAAGGACACGTTGTACGCAGGTGCGCGCAAACTAAACACAACGCTTGTCGCTGAAATACGCAAATTCTATAATAAATTTTATGTCGGACAGCTGATGAGTACGATGATTCAAGGTCGAGAATCTCTCGACGAATTACAACGGTTGGCACTTCGCTATTTGTCGCCTATTCGTCGAGGTGAAATCTCAGTGCCGGAGTGGCCCACACACCCGTTCGTCAACACGAGCCGATTGTTGATTCATATTGTGCCAGCCCTTGAGCACACGACGCTAGAGATTGTCTTTCCAATTCCGGAGATGGCTAGACTGTATCGGAGTCAACCAGATGTGTACGTTGCGATGGGCTTACTGAATCCGAAGACGCCGGGCAGTCTCTATGCCTACCTCCACTCGCAATCACTAGTAACTGGCGTTCTCGCTAAGGGACGGACAAGCCTTCGAAATTTCAGTATCTTTCGTGTAACATTCTCACTGACTGAATATGGCTTTGGTCGAGTTGACGAAATTGTCGAAACCCTATTTGCCTACATTGCTTTTCATAAAAAGGTTGGGCCACAGGAACATGTGTTCAATGACATCAAACTTATAAAACAACTCAACTTCAAGTTTCGGCCACACTTGCCGCTTTCCGATTTCGCACGTATCGCAGATCGTTTGCGGACGTTCGAAATGTGGGATGATGTAATCTCCGGCCAATGGCTTGTACACGACTACAGACCCGACCAGATTCAAAATCTACTTACGTATCTCTCACCGTACAATTGCCGAATAACATTACAATCGCCGAGTTTTGTAGATGAGCCAAATTTGAAAGTCGAGCCGTTGTACAACGTTTCCTACTCGGTTTCGGTAATCCCCGAAAAAAAACTACAAAAATGGAGCGAAGCTCAGCCTCGTCCAGAGCACGAGTTTGCTATCCCTCCGCCAAATCAGTTCATTCCTGACAAATTTCCGATTCATCGTGCTTTACCAGAATTCAGCAATAAACCAGTGTTGCTCCGACAAGACAATCGTACACGGCTCTGGATATTACAAAATGATGCCTTCGAAACGCCAAAAAGTATGGTTTACGTCATTTACCGAACCGATATCATCAGGCGGGGCAGCTCCGACATCGTGAGATTGGCACTTATCGCCAAAACTTACCTAGAGGCTAATGAGGAGGAATTAGGAGCCGCGCGAATGGCCGGCTCTAAGATCGATGTCGTTCCTGTTCTCAACGGCCTCGTCATTTCAATTAATGGATACAATCAGAAACAATTGCAAATTCTGAAAAGTGTGCTTGATAAACTCAAACGTTTTACGATCAATCGCACGACATTTGACATGGCGAAAGAACAGCTCAAGGATGTCCTCAAAGCTTCGCCAGCGCGACGCTATCATTCGGTGATGACGGAAATACGCGATCGCCTTCTACATGCAGATTTCAACGTTACCTGGCGCGACCAGTTACAACACTTAGAGGGATGTACCCTTGAAAATACTCAGGACTTACTTAATCGGATGCGCTCTAGGCTGACTGCAATCACCTATGTGCACGGCAACGTCCATGAGGATACGGCTTTGGACATGTTTGCTGCGATCAAGCAATTGGTTCAAGGTAACATCATAATCGATTCACAATTATTTTCTCACTGAAATCAAAGCTTGATATTTATTTCAACTATAAAAGTTTGGCCATATGTCTTTGTGCGTGTGTCGTCAGCCCAAGAGGATGCAACAATTACCCTACAAGTACACGGCTGAAATGTGAGTTAAGAGTATTTTATTAACTCTCACTTAGCAAGAAAAAACAGGGGACCGACAAGCAGAAAAATAATATAGGGGAGGTTTTTTATTCTCTGCCCACCCCTTATAGGCTATAGAAAACAGCGGTTACATAAAGAACTCGAGTTTGGTTTTCTATCACGGGAACGCTGATTTTAAGTTATGATAATGTTAAAATTTTCGAATCTTTGAGATGCGCACTTAGTGCAACTTGCGTTAATACATTTTCTTATTCAATTAAATCCTAAAATATCGACCTAGAGGTATATATATGTAAAATATTTTTTGTATCATATCGAATCTTTATTAAACGGTAAAAAGGCAAATTACCAGCTTCGTTTTACTATCACAGTTTCGCCTATCTCAAAACACCTTTAGACACAAACTGGAAACAAGTTACGTTTTATGAAAGTCGTTACATTAACCTATATACGGCCGTTGCTTTTCGAATACGTATTAAGTCACCTGCCGCGGATGTGAGTTAACAGAGAAATCAAATTAACAAAGTGACCTGTAAGTGGCAAGTACAACCTAGTCTAACCTTAGATTTGCCTAACAAGGAAATAAATGATTATAAAACATAGGAATTCTAGCAATAAGCACAGCCCTTTTTACAAAAAGAGAAAAACCATTTTCTATTTTTCCATACAGTCCCAGACCTGGCCCATATAACCCCATTTTTGGGACTGCGTGGGCCAACTATCTTTAACTGACTATTTGTTGAAAATAAATCAATTACAATGAATTTGTTACCTAATAGGAAAATCTTTAAAAGATGTGCAGATATGATAACATCGTTCGTTGTCACGGCACCAGTTACTTTCAACGACAGTAGTAAACAAATTAGGGCACATGTAGCCCTACCCTTCTTACATACTTTTTAAATTTTATCAGAAGACAACGTTGTTAATTGCTGTAGCTAAGTATATAATTATGTGGCGTATTGGATTATCGCATTTTAATTCGGACGTATTCATACGGCTTTTATTAGAAACTCCTATAGCCAACCGACTACCCAGAAACAACTTCAAACTCGAAAGCGTTCTTATAGGTGTTTTTATCTACCATTACGTTACTTAAAAGAGCACATACACCCACATGTCCAAATATGCTTAATTATCGCGCACGTTTATTTGCAAAGAAAGAACAAAAAAAAAAATCTGCAGAGTATCGTGCATCTATTATGGCTTCTTTAGACAGATCGCAGATTTTTATTCATTTTGTGAAATACTGATATTAAGTACAATTTTCTAAATTAACGGGAGTGCTTAATAGTATGTACTAGCTTTTCCCGCATATAATTTATTTAACATTTTCCGCCTTAACAGGACGGAAACATTTTGTAGAATAATAACTATTTAATTGTCCTAAATACGGTATGAAAAAAATGCGCTTATTTTAAACATATACAATTATTATTAAACATTAAACAGGAAAATGAATAACACTGTATCTGTGAGATTAGCTGGCAGCACATCGAAAAACGTGTGGTCAATTAATGAAGCCTCTTTTGCATCCTGGGTTATGTTTGTGCTTTATAGCTTGTACGGGTCCGTCTTTGATTCGGACACGCCACCTTTCGTCCTTTTTTCTGAAATGAGTATTTCCAAGCTCGCACACGTAACGCGAGGTTGGTTCGATTATCCAGAAAAAAAACGTTATCGCTTTAAGGACAAACAATTGCTTATGCCTGACTGGTGTTACTATCTTAAATTAGACGACCGCCATTGCCTGTAATTATTTGGTATTTTTGCTGATGCGCTTCCGTTTCAATGCTGGGATAATCGAAACTTCCCAATATTAAGAGCGATTGGTTTTCTGTAGAAATTAAATTCTTTAAGCCGAAAACGCAGGCTCGTATAACTTATGATCAAAGTTGCCCGACATAATACACAAGAGGATCAAACAGTAGTAAACTGCAGCTCCAAAAAATAGAACGCGTTATATAAACTCCATTTTTTGACTAAAGTTGAAACTACTCCGAAGTATCGAATAATGAATCGTCTAAAACGGATTCTGCTTTCATCTAATTACCTTTGGGCAGTCTGTGTATGGATGTCTTAACTAAAGCTAAATTTAACTTTCACGTTAATTAACGCCACCTGGTGCTTGCAACTTAGATAGTTTGGTGCAGTTAACAAATTAGCCACAACCCTAGACATTTTAGTGACATGTAAGCAATCAACTTTTAGCATTGGTAGATTTTAGGGACCAAGAGCTCAAGCCACTGTAATGTTGGCAACAGTTAAGGTAACAAAAAGACCTGGTCAGCAGTTATTGTTACCGCTTGCTGTCCATGGTTAGCCAGCCACCCGTAGCTCTCTGGGTTATGCAAACACCACTAGCATATCCACAAGAGATGAGTTTCAATGAGCTTGAACAACAAAAGTTACATCTGTGATCTTATATCACTATATTCGTGGAAAGCGTCCTTCTATTGCCTTCGAAACCCTGTTCAACATAAGTGAAGAAGTTCAACGTAACTAGAATATCTCCTGTATTCGTAAACACTCAAAAAGCCCGAGCTGAAAATCTTGTTTATACACACATCTCTGCTGAAGAAACAAGGTCTCTCAAATTCCTCAGAATCTCCTGTTTTTACATGACTCGCACTTTAGAAAAAAGATCAACTAAAATAATTGACTTACCGGATATAATACTTACAGCTAAGCGAACAAATCGTGTTAGCTATTTATCCATAGGATGACATTACATCGAGTTCTAATTAAAATATCTTTGATTTTTATTGATGTTATTCTAGAAACTTCGTTGACTCTCAAAGGAATCACACCCACCCACGAATTCGCATTAGATGAGGGGTACACATATCATTATGCGGAAGCAATTGAACAACAACCCCTCAATTCCGTACAGGTAAAGTATTCATTCAATTTCAAGCTTAGTATTCTCTTCTATTGTTGTACACAATTCTGTTTTGTGAACAGACAACTACGTTTATCTAACAAACTCTATAAAATATTTTGCGCATTCCAAAGTTAATAAGATTGGGTGATCCTAGTTAACTACCTATGAATTCTATAGGTATAGACGTAGCAGTAGAAAAACAGTTTTATCTTGGTAACGAGAACTTAGACGACAATAATAATAAATCCGAGTATCCACTCGTTTTATAATCAATGCTGGTCGTTGTATAACCGAACTGGAATGCATGCAAGCTTGATCATGGCAATATGTAATGATTTAAGAAAACACCTTAATTAAGCAACTAAATGTGCTTTTTTCTATGTGACATATAACGCTAAGGAAAAGCGCATTAACACGAGTACGCCTGCATTTCAGAAAAAATGGCTGTCTGAAGCAATTTTGCTTCTGTGCATACTTCCATGTATATTAGTCCACCCAGAGCAGACTGTTCTTGCAAACTAACGGTAACACAACATCCATGATTCCCCTATTTATATCGTAGGTATAAATATCAGTCACGAGGTACCGTCTGATCAAACGTACCGCGTGACGCCACACCAGACGTAGCCTATGACGAGTTCTTGTTTCACATCCTATTGGTCGACAGGTGTTCTACGACGTGGGCCCAACGGCAAACAACATACGCAGACAGCTGGTAGCTGAGCTGTTCGGGCTAATCCTAATTGATCAAACTTCAAACGTGCTACGCACGAAAGAGCAACTCGGATACAATGTTAATAGTATCACGAAGAAAACCATGTACTCACACGGTGTGTCACCAGCAACGATAAAATTAACAGATGATTGAAACTGTATCTCAAAATTAGTTAAGGGGGCAGAATGCTTAAGAAGTTGTAAAAGAAAAGCTCAGGTAAAATATTTTCTTGTCATAAAACTTCCTCTCGATGCCGAGGATTGTGAGGCATGCCATTTATTAGAAGCTTTTTGAACTGTTACATTGTTCATGTTATAATATACCGTTTTGCGATAAATACTGCTGCTAGTTATAGTAAGGAAGACGGACCGATTACATTCAGATGAAGTACGTATCTGGCGGTCCTCTTTTTAACTTCCCTAATTACGACGCGTTCGCATACGCCCCTCTTAGAGGAACGAGTTGTCACCTGACTAAGCTCCGTATCTATAATATATACGCAGTTAGAACATGTAAATAAACCACATTGAGATTTTTCAATTTACGTTTCGAATTTTTGATATATCTAAGGAAAGCATTAACCTTCGCTATCATTCAACAAGCAAACAATTTTAGGTTCTTGGCCTGGAGATTCGTATTGATAATTTGCAACTGCTACATACATCAAGAACAACGAACAGCTAACCGTCCATCGTCTAATATTCGCCTCTGCTTTGCTAATTTGAATCTGACGCTGAGCGCAGGTTTTTTGATTAGCGTGGAGAGTGGAGCAAACGTGACGCACGTGGAACAACGCATCGTGAACTTTGTGCGCACCCATGTTAAAGAGCATCTGGCTGGTCTCAACGATCAGACCTTCGAAGGTTACCGAGAAGCTTTTGTCCACAGAAAACTCGAAAAGCTTATGTCAGTTGACTATGGGAAAAAGTACGTAACCAAAGACGGAAATTATCTAGGTGCAATGACAAATAATATTGAGGCGACTTGCCCGCGTGTTGCTTGCACGCAGGTAGTTTATTTTGTCATCCGCACGTACCTCATACGTCAATTTTTCTTACGCACTAATGCAAGGATTTGAACAGTGTACTTTCAAACACAAAACAATACTCTTGGTTTAGTTTGCATAATAATTTCTATTTTCCTCACCAAGAAATTAAACTGAGTGAAACATTTATTCAAATAAATAAAATATCCTCCTTTTCCTATTTGTACAACATATTGTATATTCGTGTTCAGGTACTGGCCAGAAATCTACCAGACGTGTCGATTTAATCGTTCGGAAGAAGAAGGTGCTTTAGCAGCCACTATAAGCCGTAGAGAAATCATCGAATTTTACGAACGGAACATCGTTAATCCCCAACGAGCGAAGGTGTTCTATTTTACCTCTCACCGTACCTATAATACTGCATGCTTGGTTAAATTTTCCAATCCTCCTACTCGTTATCTTAGTTCTAATTAGTGTTTATTTTTTATGTTTGTATTTCGCGGTACATTCGAACTCTAGCAGTTTAGACTGTACTTTTGCGAGAGCAAGCAGCTCTACCGAGATTAGATATATTTAAGCTTTTTTGTTACTGGCAAAATTATGCATCCGATCTATCTATACGTATATGAGCGTAAAACCAGTCCTGTAAATTCACAGGTGCTGATAATTCACATCGTTCCCACCAGGACGCCTGGTCCCGATGATCAGAAAGTCCGTGTGACCCGTTTCGATGGACAGGAAACCCTCTATTCAAGCCTCACAGAATTTCAAGCGACCTTGAAATTGCAGGAGGAAGAGTCGGACGAACTTTGCGAAAAAATTAGGCCTTACGGACAACATGCATAGAGATGCCAGTGAGTGCTCAACTTATACATCGTTGTTTATAAGAAGATAAAGTTAGATCGTTTCATTGGGAGGCACTATGCAGTTCGTCAGGTTTTATGAAGCGATTGGCTTAAATTTTATTCCCTAAAAATCTAAAATAATTTATTCTGTTCAGATATGTGTTCCTAATTAAGTCAACTAAGTGTTGATATAGAAAATCAACTCAACCTTGACACGTAGAGAAATAAACTATAATTAATGTTTATATGCCTAGCGTCAGCAGTACGGTGCTAAATCAGTAGATAAGGGAAAAAGCCTAACAGTGCGATAAACCTACCGATAGGCTCGTACTGTATAGAGTCTATACAAAATAAAATAAATACAAATTTACTGCGCTATAGCACAAACAGCCAGAGCTGACAACGCTTTGAGTCATCTCATATCTCATCACACCAGCAGGTCATCTTCAGATGCATATATATCGTGTGCTGCATAGAAAGATGCACATGGGTCTGTCATATACACACTTGGCCATTCACCCGTACATAACGAAAAGAATCATAGAGGTACAGATACTGCATAAAAACATTCTGAGAAGCAGATTTTTGACCAAATAAAAACAATCATCAATAAACAAACTCGAAGAAGAAAACTGTAAAACAATACAATTTAGAACGTGTTTTTATTATTGGCTTAACTCGCTAAATTTAGAGGACTTGTCAAAAGGCTCAAACGAAGGCAAACTATGCTAAATGCTGGCCTATCTTAGAAACACAACCCTATTTCTACTTGTAGATGCGGCGTTTATTGTAAATTACTACTAAAACTTGAGCTATATTTTTCAGGCAAAAGAGGGCACAATTACCACCCGTTTTGATCTTTGTATTCTATAGTCAGAAACCACACTATGTAATCTATAGTGCGCGTCCGCTTTCTTCATTCGGCAATGTCATCACAGTGATTAAAGATCTCCTGCGTTGCTTGAAAGAGCCTCTCGCTCAGGTTAGAGTTCATTAATAGACTCGACACGTTTTCTAAACGACAATCCCTAAAAATGTAGACAGACCAAGCAAATGATTAGTTCTCTGCTTTTGGAAATTATTTGCTATCTATAGTATTTTAAAGATTTACGGGCATGCTTCCGTAAATCAATATACCAAGCAGTTACAGTTGTGTACTATATAATAATCAGAGAACGTAGCGTTTTCTAATTTGGCTGTTCAACGTCATATGACTTTTCGGTTCGACTACGTAGCACCCGATAGCGCGCGATAGTAGTACATTAAATCCTTATGATCGATGAGCGAGAAGTGGCGCTTCTGACACAGATCTCATTCTTGTTCCACAATGCATTAGGACACCTAAGGATATTTAAAATCAGAACTCTAACAGGGTTGGGTTTGAGTGCAATGAAGGTGAAAACGAATAGTTTGAGTTTTAATCAAAGACTACGTAAGCGAATTAACAACCATCCTAATATATAAACGTGTCTTACTTTACCTGTAGTAACCATATTGGGTATCAATTTTATCATCAAGAGCAGCAAACAAGACCGTTTGACATCCTTGCTTCGGCGTTCGAACGGCCAAAAGGGCAAACGGAATATAAAGCGGAAGGCACATCATGTAGAACATTGCTGGTCGATGCCTGCCCAATTTCGAGTTAACGATGCCCGGCGAAACTGAATACCAACGAATAGCTGGATATCTGCAATGAGAGTTATAAGAATCTTATAATTAGTTGCTTATACAGAGAATAAACAAGTCTACATCGAAATACAGTCAATTCGGATAAAAATTTAACGGGCTTAAAAATACTAAATCGCAACGTTGTCTGTATTTCATCGAATAACCGGCTCTACGGTAACTTGTTTAATTACTGCTCATTTCTGTCTGCAGTGAGAAGAATAGATTATCTCAGAAGAACAGATTATATACTGGTAACGTAATCCCAGCGTTTATTATTTGATTAAGTTAATGTCCATGTTGTTTGATGCTCTATTTAGAACAACTGTTGCTGTGACAAAATGGAAAAAACTTATGGCATGCACTTGCCGCCGACTCATCTGATGCATGAAAAGCATGCCGGCCAATTTCGAATCTGCGTACGCCCGGCTTTTATCGTAGTTGTCTTCCTGATAACAAAGGTCCTCTACACGGGCCTCATCCGGAAGTGCCGCAAGTCGATCTGGGAGATTAGACTTTTTGTAAAGACTAGATGACACCTGTTCCATCGATACATAATATATTTAGCTCATTAGATCAAAATTGAGCCTATCCAATATAAAGACAGCGAATAAGGATCTGACCCTTCGTTGTCGCATCTTCGCAAACATGTCTGAGAAAACCTCTATGTTAATGCGATTGGTATGGGATGAAGTAAAATTAGACATAGAAAAACACCATCAACCACATGCAGATATGTTAAGATCGACTAGCATGAATTTTACATTACCTGAATCACGCGAGGTTCCGGGCTTCTCTTCAACAGCGACATCAAACCAATAGTGAGTCTTGCGTGCCCAAAATGATTTACTCCCATTTGAAGCTCCAATCCCTGACGAGTCCTGTCAAAATCAACTATCAATATTGAGATCAAAAGCGCATGATTGTTTGTTTTTGCCAAAGAGTTGTTGCTTGGGGGAACTTTTACGAAAGATCAGTGGCAACATCCATTTGCCATATAACGACCATGTTATTGTACGCCAAGGAAAAACAAAGCGTGCCAGACCATAAACAATAAGAAATAATAATGAAAGCTTTAATTCAATCCGAATCAAATCAATCAACATACTTTAGCAAATTTGTCATTTCACTCACCCATATATATATATGGGTGAGAAGTTTTGAAACGCTTTGGAAATTCAAGGCTTGTCTGCTTTACGTTTCCCAAATAATTATCACTTCGCAGGCGGCCATAACTGCGAATTTTTCAATTGAAAAGTTGAAGGTTGGTGGCGGTGATTAATAGGTGAGGATTCGTAATCGTCACTACGGCAGACAGTGCCTTTCGGCATCGTTCGATGACGTGAGTTAAGAAGTAAATGCCATTGTTAGGTAAAAACATATTAAGATATGGGAATTCGTTTACATAAGCGAATGAGAAATCGCCATATTTGAGGGCGTCAATACGTTCTCCAAGTTTTAACTTAATTGGCATTGCCTTCATTTGATAAATAAACTTTCCAAGCTTTATAGAAGCCGCATAAAGCTTAGCCAGGCTCTGCTGTACCTGAAACCGGTTGTAGTCAAAGATGACTAGGTCGCCTGTATATAAGGTGGTGCGTGTTGGCCAGGTCTCGTCCGCATTGAGTCATAGAAAATTATATTTGGCCAGTATCATCGACAAAATCATTTGAAGAACTGAGTCAGGAACCGTTTTGAGACCCACAAATACTGAAATTAAAGGCTGCCCAAGCCCGGTTGATTTCGTCCAGTTAAATCGAGCACGCATGGTATTAGCGAGCGGTTTCATCCAAACTTATGTTATTTTCACGACAGTACCGCTGTGGCCACCAAAAACCCAGTAAACTTACTTGTTGTAAGAACGGACAAAAACAGCAATTTGTAGCAGGCACTTCTTTTGACTGGGTTACACCATGAGGCAGGCTAATTAGATTCGCTTTGATAAGGTTTTCGAGATCATGAGCAGGAGGATGGCTTCAGTCAAATTTGCAGGAAGTAGCCTAGGCGAAGACGCCCATTGAATAGCACCCGTCAGCAAAAAGCCAGCGGGAACGCGTCGTTTTTCTTTTATTGCCGACCTCCTCACTCGTTGGTACTAGTTTCGTCCAAAGATGCCATTATCTAAAAAGCTTCTGATGGAGTAATTCTATTTACCCTATACCGGTAAGTGCTTTATTAAGATAAGCGTGGGGGTCGAAGATGCTGGCAATTTTTCCACGAACAAGGATTTCCTGCTGCCGCACGGGATAATCCTGTTTTTCTGGTGTTTAAATTTTCCAACATATGATTTCAGGGTAGGCCGAGAAGTCTCATCATTATTTAACGCTCTATATGCTATTCTATCCAAATTTGTTTTTACTGAAAGCACATGTGTCAAAAGAATTATATGTACCGTTGAATACAGTCTGTTTGATAATCATCATGCTCATTGGGTAACAATCACTTACTTTTGGTATGGGCAAAATGCCACTCCTGCGTTAAGAACGAGGACTTCTATACGCGGAAGGTTTGCCTTACAGGTGCGACAGAATGCGTCGATTGAATCGAAATCAGACAAATCCAGCTAAACGGAATTTAGGAAAATGTAACAGATGGCGACTGGTATTTAGATGCTATTGCTTCATACTAACTATATGTATATATACATGTGTGTAAATTTGAAAATGTCAATTTTTATGCTGAGCGTATAATTAGTCAGTCAAGTTACCTTTATCGCAAGAATGCGAGACCTCTTATATGTTCGCATTAGATAATCAGCAACTTTCTTTGCCTGATCAAGATTCCTGCACGCCATAACTATTGTGCCCCCACGTGCCGCCAGCTCTTCGGCGGTAGCACGGCCTATCCCTGTAAACGCACCCGGATGTTTGTTAACAAACTCGATAACGCCTTATATGAATTTTCACGGTTCGTCACGGATAAACAAATACTTCGGTGGCGTTACCCAGTGATTCATATGGAACACTTGGCCCGAATAACAAACCATATTATTAGTAGTATATAAATACATGAGTTACTAGGTAAGGCTTGAGCCAAGTAACGCAACAGCAAGTATATCATCAAAAAATGAATATTTAACAAAATGATGATGACCAATCCAAAATCTATTTAGAATTATCAGTCTCATGATGAAGTTAAGGAACATTATCTACTGTAGATAACTTACCTGATGTTGCGCCTGTTACAACAAAAACCTTCTTGGAGCAGTCAGCTGTTTTGGTAAAAATGGCCCATTGAGAAGCTCTCCACCAGCGCAACAGATATAACGCCAGACCTAAGGCAAACCCTTTGAACACTATCAAGAGGGGAAACATCTCTCGTTCAAGTCAATTCCCTGTGTGATAACGAAGAAAGTTAGTGGTCCTGCTCCAAGCACTTTCTATAGCCAAATCATACATCTATAGCGTTCACAACGGTCTGTGGCTAGTGTGTATCAGTTCCACTGTACAATGATTTCTAATGTTATTATCACGAAACGTTTATACGAAATATATCAATATCATACCATACCAGAAATATACCAGTTTGTACAGTTGGCTAGCTACGCTTGCTGTTTCAGCGTTTACTTCTTTCGAGACTTTTTCATAACCTCTCGCATGTTCTCGTCGAGGCCAATATAGAAGTCGATCTCAGTCTTCACAAACATTCGAACACTTAGATCCGCAATTTTATCAATCTATAACAGACAAAAATACATATTATTGGTGCAGTTAACTGTTTGAGGTGACACAATGGCAACACAATTATCACATAATGCAAGGCCGACTACATTGGAGAACAAACTATTAGGTTGTCAAAAGGCAGAAAATCCACGTGTGAAGCAAATTCAGATGTATTTATTAAAGGTCAGTGCCTTGAAGAATTACCTTTATGAACGGTTGAGATAAACTTGAAATTGGTCATTGTGCTTTTGTTCAAGGTATTATAGCGTTTATATCTTGTGACTGTCTTATTCCTCAAATCTACAAACCTCCTGGAGAGCCACGGCGCCACCATCTTTATAATAATCAAGCAGGTCCTCGGCGTATCTGCAATTCAAAAACAGTCTTGATTTAAACACTCTGATGAAGCCTATAACCTTTCTTTTAATCGTTGAAGCTTGTTCATATGTTATGGTACACATAATGATAACCAACAATTTGAAAGCATATAAAAGTTTTCCAAAGAAGTCAGCGAATAGCCGGACAAACCTCAGAAAAATGCAATCGTTACATCCGGTTCCGCAGCATTCGTCCGGGCTAGGCACTTCCGGAGGCAATTTTGGCCGTTTTTTTTCGGCGCTGTCGTGACAATCCCCTGATATTGACGGCGTTTCCACTTGATGGTCCTGACTGAATTTTGCACTTATATTTACATAATTGTACGCCCTTCTCTGGAGCCGGAATGGTGCCCCGCTCCGAACCCAAAAATTCAACATCAGAACGATGTGGGCACCGGGTAAAACAGAGTTTGCTAATACACCGTGCGGCCCGCTTCACCAAATGAAAACTATAAGATATGGACAAAACGAATAGCGTCTAAATACGAACAGTTTTTTCTCGTAATTTATATAGAGAAAGTAAACAAGAACGGCAGTTGGTATAAACAATGGTGATAAAGCCTAAAATTTTATCACAGTTGTTTTTCCGGGTGCCTTTTGCTAAATAAACATGTTCTCTATTATCATGTGTCAGTTGACTTCGGTCTCTTTGAATGCATATCTGCGGTGTCGACCTACTCAGTACTTTTATATTTTATGATGAACAAACTTATGGAGAAAACCTAGGTCCAGTATTTAGTTTTAGCAAGAGACAGCACAGATTATTCGGATGCAAACCGCTCCTTCCTGATTTATGGGAATTTTTTTTCTCTGATACAATATAGGCCACCTGACACATCGACCCAGAAAACACTGTAAACTAAATGTGTTATATTAATGAAATTGTTGGAGCAATATCACATAGTTTACTGTTTTCAAAAAGAAAGGCTATTCAATAGATCCACATACTTGAAAACGTCAGTTGATGAGTCACGTGCTTATCGTAATGAAACATCGACAAAAATATCCGTATACCTGTCAAAGAAGCAGAAGAAACTAACTTAAAATGCAGATGCAAACCTTCTTGCTGCATCAAAGCGTAAGGTTGCTGCCACCAGTTTCGATTCCTAGAAGCTTTCACATAGGTCTCATTCGAATCGAACAGTACGAAAACAGGACATCGTCTCCATCAGACCTCAACGCGTAGTTATGTAGTGTAGTAAGCTCATATTATGTACATGCTTTACAGAGGAATGAAAAGATTCGTAAAATAAACTTTGTTATAGCTAGTCCATTGCATAGTTACTTGTCACTTTGACCTAAGCACCAGTGAACGGGTTCTTAAGAGAACGGAAAGTCAGCGCCAAATCTACGGCCTGGGCCTTTCAATTGACACGCGTTTTACACATTAGAATAAGGTGACCTCGCAAAAACAACGTGAAGCAAATAACACATATTGTCGTAAAAATATAGGGAAAAAGTCTCCTGCGAAGAAGCATGTCGCGTCAATGCGTTCAGGTCATGAAATAACACACAAAATATTTTCTGTTTTCTGCCTGATTTTTAATCTTCACTGATTCGAGTATTTTCAGCATTGCGGAAATCTAAACGTATATGTAATCGAGTTGTAATTTATATATATATATATATATATATATATATATATATACTGAGTCGAATACCTTTGTAGACATATGGGCAGATTAGCTTTGGGCTAAGAGAAAAAGTTTCCTATTGTTTAGTTTTCTATAGAATGAACGATTCGATGAATAGAATTTTCTATCTGCCACTTATACGGGGGTTATCCGTATTGAGCTATGTGAGTGTTTTTTTTAAATCTCTACAAACTACCGTAGCTATTATCGACTGCAGAAACATACGCTATGATCCTTATCCCAAAAAAATAATTAGCTAGTACAACCACTCGCATCAAAATATTGACATTCGAAATACTATACAGACACAACTACTGAACGTGTCTCTGTTCTGGGATTCAATTAAATGATAGAATACACCTGCAGAGAACGAATGCCATATTCGTACAGACGTGAACATTTCTTTTGTGATCTATTCTGTTCGAAATAGTTTTCTTGGCAACATAGGACATTTTATTTAAACTAACCTTTTTCCTCTCAACGTATACACGGCAATGATTCAGAAAGCACAGATGGGAAAGGGGGGGCTGCGCGAGGGGAGAGCGTGTCTGTGTTTTAGTCACCTGTCTGGTAGATTTGATTTCAGACCTCAACATGGCGTCTTCGTCGAAGTACGTTCTATCCTGTTTTCTTTTTTTGTTGTTTTTTTTTTACATTTGATTAGTTTCGCGCGCATCTGTTACCTATACTCGTTGTTGTAGGATAATATGGCACAGTTGAGTTTGTTACAAATGTTTAGCTAAGGACTGTATGATAGTTTTATTAATTGTTGTTCCTGCTTACTATAGATCCATGGTGCATTTGTTGTGCGTAGCTGAAGCCGCGATTCGGGTTTTTATTTAAGAAGCATAGTTTCTACGGGCTGGTCAGCTTAAAGTGTACTGCGAAATTTGCAAGTAAAACTTGCATGGCTCGTCACACTCGCGGACGCTGTTGCTGCGCGGTAATTCTGTTACAAGAAAAACTCTGAGAGACATAAAAGGACCATTCCAATGCAATAATGCCGGAAATTTTCTGTTTTTGCTTGGACGTATAATTGTTTTCTAAGCCGCGTATCATTACAACATCCTGTATGATCATCTCCTCGATTCTACGAGTCTCTTCACATTTTGGTTTTTCTAAAGGCGGCGTAAATGTGCTGCAGATGTAACGGCAACCCATTGCTGGTAAAAATTTATATTTCGTTTCAGAGAGATATTTTCCCATAATATCGTTTAGGATAAATAAAAAATAATGTTGTTATTATAGTAGCGATGATGGAAAACGTATGCAGGATTATTCCATTGACTTCCTTCTCATTTAAATATTGCCATGTCGCGCCCGGCGCTGGAAGGCAGAACTGATTATAATGAAGTCATGAGATTGTGTTAAGTGGTTATATGTGCTGAGATAACACCGGTCAACAGCCAGTCAAAATAATGGCATCTATTCTTAACTATTAATATTTGCAATAAAGCTTTAACTCGGCCTATGTGTTCGCTGCGAAGCCTCAACAATGCTGGCAGTGTTTGCATGATGCAACACCTGTTTGTTTCTACATATTTGACAAACTCTGCAATGCAAACTATAAGATGCGATTTCCGTTATTATTATTCATGAATGATAGACTTTTCTATCAAATGGTATATATTATATTTCGAGTAAAATACACAGTTGGGTTGTTCTAAGCAACTTAAAATAAAAAGATTTTTCTAGCAAAACTAGGCTTGAACGATTGGTTACTTTATTCCATACTAAATTCGTTATGCGCGTACACAAACAACCATAAACTCCGTTTTATATAAAGTGGGGCTTCTGGGTAATTTTTTATATTATTTGGATATTTCGTAATATAATGCTACGCATAGTACATTGAGCTATACTGCGTTTTTTTTAACTCCGACTGTAGACATCGTATGTGACAGTATTATGCGGCAATATTTTGTAATTCATCTTGTTTCCGTTTTGTCGTAGACACAGAATTGCAACAATGTGGCAGCGAAAATAGCTAACTGAATTATTTTTTATTTATAATAAAATTACACTTATTCAGTCCGGCGGTAAGTGATGCGTACAATTTTTAACTTATGGCAATTTTACAGTAGTGATTTATGCAGTGTTTAAGTACTATACTGATAATTTTCTTCTAACCAAACATATTGTGAATAAGAGGTTTCCCGAGTGACAGTGGCCGTAGTGCTTCCATATAAACAGTGCCCTATATATTCTAAGTTAGACAGAGTTTCTAGATGGAGCTCGTTACGCACCATCTACCAGACATATATTACTCAAGACAAACTGTGGGTTGTATTTCCTAGAACGTCAACAGGCATGCGAAGGACCCCGCAATGTTTCTTTGTAACTAAGAGTAGCTCCTTTGCCTTAGACAACAATTACCAAAACATCGAATCATTACTCTAAGGTGTGCGATTTTATGAGTGCCGCATTTATCAATCTATGGCACAGTAAAATGCTTCAAAAGTCAAGTGGCTACTGAAGATACAAGCTGGCTACGGTTTACACAGTATCTTCTTTTCCATTCTGTGGATATGGCATTTGTAATATTCTATCCCATAATAGTTCGTGATACTTTTTTTTTACAGCACAGAAAAAAATAATGTTCGATTTCGCGAATAACAATCACACTGGCTGAGCTTTTTAATCACTCATAACTTTTTTGATGTTTCAGGCCGGCCGCTCGTGTGTTTTGTCCAGACCATCCGGGAGCGAACCTAATCGAGGACTATCGGGCAGGGGATATGATATGCCCACAGTGTGGGCTCGTTGTAGGGGACAGGTAACATTTCAATCACAATATAGCCGTGGAACAATGGTAAATAATCTTCTGACCAAAGGCAGATATGGTTAACGAAATCAACAAGTTAATCGAATGCTAGATAATTTACTCCATAATAAAGACGGCCATTAAAACGATGCCCAGACTTTTTGTACATAATGCTCAGACTGTGGCTATGAATGTTCTTTTGTGAACGCATGTGATCGTTTCAGCGCCTGGAACAAATCCGCATGGATTAGGTTAATTTGTTACGTTTGACAACATTGATTAATAGTTATCATAGGTAGGGCAGCGACACTCTGCTCTGATCCGCAGCAAATAATTTGCATTAATCCTCTATGAAAAACAATAGCATTAAAATTTGTGCGGATATTTAGGATTGTCGATGTTGGCACAGAATGGCGAGTATTCCAGAACGAAAAGTCCTCGAACGATCCGACTCGTGTTGGAGCTGCCGAAAATCCGCTTCTCGGAGGAAGCGATCTCAGCACAATAATCGGACGAGGAACAGGTAATGGGGGGTAAGAACGTAATGGGGATGCTGCTCGAAGAAAATAAGTAGGTTCTATACAATATCCGGAATAATTGGATTAAGTTTAAGAAAAGAGAGAAAATGATATTGGCTTACGTACCTGCATATTGATGAAGTACAAATTAAACGCACATCAAACTGATGCCTTAATTATAATTGAAGGAAACTATCCTTAACCAACTGTGTTATTAGTAAGTAAATTTGCTAAGAACGAATTCTTGTAGCTATATGCTGATTATGAATGATTTACAGGAGATGCTTCGTTCGATGAATCTGGCAACGCGAAGTACGCAAACCGAAAAACAATGAGTGCATCGGATCGAGCACTGATTGGCGCTTTCCGAGAAATATCAGCTATGGGCGATCGCATTAACCTACCAAAGACAATAATGGATCGAAGTAATTTGCTGTTTAAACAGGTCTGTGTAGGTCCTTTAATTCAGTGCGCTGTATATGATGTCATGTTTGCTGTTTACGTTTTCTTAATAAGAGTGAATGGCAAGCAATAAATATCACAACCGTATATTGTTTTCCTAAATATGCTAATTGAAAGCGTATATATCTTCATTCTAAGGCTGATGCCGATTTATCTAGTGACAGCCTAATTCGAAGCAGTTTGAAATTCTGAGATCGAAAATTATACTATAAGATTTTTGTTAGTATGTGTGGCAAGTTATTGATGATTTTTTTTTATTTAGCACTATAATTATTCTTCATGCTGGAATCGATTTGTAGGTTCACGATGGCCGCAGTTTAAAAGGTCGCTCAAATGACGCTATCGCCTCAGCGTGCCTTTACATTGCCTGTCGACAGGAAGGAGTACCTCGAACGTTTAAAGAGATCTGCGCTGTTTCAAAGGCAAATTTATTCTGGGATTTTAATATGTGGAGGAATAAGTCAGGGGGAGAGGTATCCAAAGTATCCAAAAAGGGACACTGAGTGTGACTAAATACTTTATTGCCATTATAACGCCATTATGCCCGAACCCGTTCTAGCATTGAGGCACAAGAAATTTAAACTTCTCTTTAGCTTGAATTATTGTAATTAACGAACTTTTTTTTTTATCATACTGCATGTACATTATTTCACAGGTATCAAAAAAGGAAATTGGTCGGTGTTTTAAGCTAATTCTAAAAGCTTTGGAAACCTCAGTGGAGCTAATCACAACTGGCGATTTCATGTCCAGATTTTGTTCCAATCTCGCCTTACCCCCGTCGGTACAAAAGGTACATAAGTCAATTTTAAATGAAATCCAGATTCTTGAAGTGCCGATGTGTTTCTATCGAATTTTCACCTCGGTAGATAACTTGTGTTGCCACTTGAGTTCTAATAGTAGCACTCTTACGTATTTTCGAGAAACATTGTAATCTTTTTTTTAAGTAATATACGATAGACACGCAAGTCTCGTGTATTCTACTGTTGAAATTTAATTTGTCCCAGAATCACATAAAAACTTCACATTTGTATATATTCTTTTTCTTACACGCATTACGCGTTCGTAAGCACTTTACTAATTATATAGTTCATTGCATATATATATATATACATATATATATATATATATATATACGTATATATATATATATATATATATATTAAAATACGTATTTCTAGGGAATTTGTACGTTCTCATATTTAAACTAGTATATTTGACATTAGGACGTTGTACATTTGTGTCCATTCAGGCTGCGACACATATTGCCCGGAAAGCTGTTGAAATGGATATCGTTGCCGGCAGGAGTCCAATCTCTGTTGCTGCAGCCGCAATATATATGGCCTCGCAAGTTAGTCGAAACAGTTTCCTATTGATCCTTTTGCTTTAAATAACTGCTTAGCTTTCCAACTTCATTTTAAAGTGTTTGAACACAGAAATATTTGAAGGTGTCAGCAATAAGCAAATGTTAAGTTTTTAAAAGTGTATCGATTTAAGACTTGTCAATGCACTAAAATGTTTTAGAAAAAACAACGCATTTTCATGTAGGCAAAACTCCTATTGTCAGTTGAATAAAAAATTTATGTACTCCAATTTATTTATTATCCTTATAGGCGTCTGCTGAGAAGAAATCACAAAAAGACATCGGTGATATCGCCGGCGTGGCTGAAGTAACAATCCGCCAGAGTTATAAGCAAATGTATCCGAAAGCTGCCCAGCTTTTCCCTGAAGACTTTAAGTTCCACACACCGCTTGAACAGTTGCCCATTAATTAGAACGACTGAGCGACGTTTTCCGTTTGGAGGGAGGTTACTGCTACAATTACAACTCACATACGCGCGTGGAAGTTGTCGACTGAGACCGAAACGAAAGAAGAACGCATGGAAAAGCGAACTTAAGTGGCACACAAATGCCGCTGCTAGATGAGGCTGAACATATGTTGAATTATGGCATGATCTTATTGTAAAGGACAAGACACGATTTTTTTTTACTGTATCAATAAGTAAGATAAATTAAAAGACATAATGCCTTTGTGCTGTCGAAGCCAGTGTAGTATCCAGAGGAAGATACGTTACACAATTGTTGTCGGACAAAAGAAGGTAAATGCATTCGATATCCTCCTACCTAATAACTACCTTTGGTTTGGCCTTACGATCACAGCTCTAATGTAGAGTGATCTCGTAACAATCTTTGGGAAGTAGCATTTCGCTGTGAGATAACGAAATCATTGGCCAAATTTTTGTTTTCAGTACAAACAAAAAAAAAAGTGATTCGACTTGACTTGATCTCTCCCGAGTTATATTTGAATTAACTGAAATTCGTATGCATATGAACCTGCGGTAGTTCCGATTTGTATGTGTCCCGAGGGACACATTTATATATGCCCCGTGTATTTGTAGTAAAGTAGTGACGGTCTGATTAACAGAACGATATCTTTGCTGCTATAAATGATTTTTCGTCTAAATGAGCACTAAACTGTACACTGAACTATATTTGGATATATAATAAATAATAAAAACACACTGAATGATGTTATAAAATATTATTTAAATATGAAATAAAAGTGTGGTGTGTACTTTCACTGAGCAAATGTTTTCATCAAGTCTGTGAAAAGAGGACCTTATTTATTCAAAGATATAACTGAACTGCTGGCGTCCTTAGATGAGACAGAGAGAGAGAAATTAAGCGATGAATTGGTATTGTTGTTGAGAACGAATCGCACGTCCACCTTAAGGGCGAGCAACCGGCACAGATACTTCGGAACCTGCTGAGCGCGATTGCTTTACAGACTTTTTTGAATCTATTTTTTTCGTTACATATTTTTAAGAAAGCGTACTTTGCATTTGATTGTCAAGAATGACATTGTTTGGCGGCGAGCCTTTTTAATTTCGAAGAAGTTCTCTAGAATCCGCAAATAGATAATTTTGGGGACATGATGGGAGAAAATCTTTTTACCACTGAGTAATTTCTTAGCCAAGTCTGCTTAGGTCAAAGGGTGCATATCTTTGACACACTAAGTATGAACACGGCTTGACACTGTTTTGGCAGGTAGACACAGTTACTGCACGAAGTTCACACATGATGTCACAGATGTTTTTGTGCAGTTCTTTTTCAGAGAAACAAAACCTCAACATCAAGACACGTGGCCTGTGCGTCACTCAAGCCGTTTTATCGCAAGTTCCATCATGCAGTTGTTCTGAAGCACTATTCGGCTTCAACTATGGTAGCTGAACGACTGTCGCAGGGCGCGTTACTGTGCAATCGGTAGTTGTGTTGTCGGTAGAGAGATTGTCGACACGCAATTTAATACGACACGGAAAAGCTTTATGAATAAAGGCACCCACAAGAATAATATTGCCTCAACAGCTCTGTGGCGCGTTCCGCGCCGCACAAAACTTAGCTTACTAATGCGATCATGCGCTGCTATGTTGAAATATGCTAGGAAATTAACCGTCAAGCAACGTCGCGAATGTTTTGTAGCACTTGGGACAGCATGCATAAATGACTGTGGAATCCGATATGTGACTGACCTGTAGTTGTGTAACCCCGGTTAATTCCGTAACACGGGAAGATTTTGACTCACAAGATAATAATCAGTAAGGGATGAAATGCTCACCAACTTGATAGAAAGCTATCGATTTGGTGGGCACTTATTCTCTTACTGATTATTGTATCTAGTCGTGAGTACGAGGCAGTGATAGCTTGGATCGAGTTATTTACTACTCAAAAATTATCGAACAAGTTGTGACGTCTCGTATTGCAATTTGTGTCTCTTCAGTCGATAACGTGTTTGCCTGCTTAACTTAAAAACAGCTGGTGGTCTAGGTTCGGATTTGGTTATAGACACACTTTGTCTCGTGCTGAAAAGCAGCAGTCTAAGGAAATGCGCAATACTATAAGACTGGACATAAAACACGTAGAAACATACATCGCATTTCTGTGCAGTGTGTACAATAGGTCTTCATAGACACATATTAAAAGAAAATGTTGTTATTGTGATGTCTTAAGAAGGTCTATGATAAATTACCGGGTATATGTCAGCCCAGTCGACGAGAGATAAATTGGACATAGCACGGTTTCTCTTTAAGATCCGCGCACGGTCCTTCCAGAATTTCTAGCTATTGAGAAGGGAAGTTTATTAATCATATGACGATAACATGTACAGGTATGAGATTTTTATTTGCATTATCAACATATATGTGTGAGGCACCCAAGCAGCTTTTTCTACTAAGCACAGCTACAGTCAAAACATTTTTTAACGAAATAGTTTTTGGGAATGTTTTAATACAAATACAAAATACAATAATGGGATGTTGGTTTTAATACAAGCACCAGACATGGAGAGAGCAAATTGCTCCATCCTTGTAAAACTGGCATTAATTTCTATCAATCGTCCAATTTAATACGATAGGGCATAACACGATAATAGCAAAGGACAACAAAGTACAACAAGCATCGATTTTACATGGCGCGAGAACCTCGGGCCTATTTTTTCACATAACTAATTGCCTATGATTTGCCTAAAATGGCTTCGAAATTGGTTATTGGAGAGTTAATTAATATTTAAATCAGGTCTTGATACCTAGGCGACTAGATTAGATTTAATATTTATAACAACTTTTTTTCCGGCTGGCCATGAGAAATTAAGGCGTAGGGTTGAAAATCAAACTAAAGCAATAAGCCTTGTTTAAAAGTCCCAGTAAGGCATCAATATTTACATACAGAAGCATATATAATCATCGTATGAATAAATACAAGTTATTATTTCGGTTGTAATGCGAAGTGCCCATTGTCTTTATTGATTTCCAGTGACTATGCCAGTGACTGCGGCAGAGTTCTTCGCTTCCCTAGCTGTAACCGTTTATGCTCAGCTTCTGCGCACAGTTGTCATAGTGTCAAACAATCAGTTTCTAACCTTTCACGTCTTCTCTTTCGAATTAATTTTTTAATTTGCTATTCCAGTCTGTTTCCGCTATCACGTTTCCTAGGTGCTTCGTGTTTTTCTTTCTTAGTTCTTTTCGCTATTTTATCCCAAGAATAATACATCCTCTACACTCTACCTTTTTCCTGAAATCTTTACTGTTTGTCGTCTTACGTCATCGATAGAGTAGAAGTAATGTTTTCCGAACATCATTTGTTTTACTATAATTGCTATCTAGATCTCTCTTCTTATATAAATACTTATCTCGTATTTATATATTCCACTTGCCTCGTTCATTTCGTATTGTCTATGAGCGCTCTGTGTATCATTAAGTGTACTATATACGATCTTGAATGCTGAAATCATGTTACCGTTTTACGGCTCTAGTTCCCCGATATGATCATTGTCGGTCTTTCTTTTCGACTTGGTTTGACAATCATATTTTCCCTACTTTCTTGCATGTCAGCTGCACATCGTCGCAATTCTGTAGAAGCTCAGAAATCAGTTAGGCCCTTATGGGTCACAAACGGAAAGAAAATTATTTTTCCATAACTTTCCACCTCTTGTTTTGCCCAGAACTAACAAATCTCTTGCTCCTTTGCGCAGCTGCGCGACTACAGCGTACCTTTATCGCTTCTACAAGTTGTATTAAATTTATAATTAGTCACTACTGTTTTTATTTTTTATGTGAGCTTTATATTTTAAAATTCCGCGTGTGTATATACTGCACACACATTTTTCTCATTCATTTAATAATTGCTGAAAATAAAAATTAAATACCGCGACTTCTTTTAAGATATGCGTTCATCATAAACTATCATAACAAGCCGTGGAATATTGGGCGAAATATAAAATGGTACATAGTATAGCTGGGGTATGCGAGGTGAATTAGTACAATTGATTTTTTTCTCTTCCTCATTTTAATCTTACTGATCAGTTCCGATACTTGTCTGGAGGTGGAAATTAATATACCTGTATGAGGTTTTTCTTGATAGTAATTAATAAATACATACGATAAGAGTGTCTTAATTATTAAACTGGGCTGCGCCGTTCTTACAAGCATGAGAAGAGAGTTGATCATGTTGTGATCTACTGGACGTTTATTACGCTTCCTGTTTTTCTTTTGTAATTGACGTTTTTAGTACGGTTGTCAGTCTGCAGTAATAATAATCAATGTTCGTATATGGTCCTTAAGTAATCGTTGTACTGTAAACAAAAAAAAGCATTTCTCTGTCTCTACCAATTGATTCCGTTTCATTGCTGCGATTTGAAGTATACTTACTACTATTGCATTGCTATCTAGACATCTATATATATATCGGATTGAATCGTCTAGCAACTCGTGTACTGGGAACATAGATAAGAAAAGAAAACATCAAACAGGAAATTAGTAGTATTATTATAATGCAAAAAATCGTTTTCCGTACTGTCCGTTCTTATAATAATGATGTATCATTATTCTGTTATAGTTATGGAGTTTGCTTGTGCACGCATGTGGCGATGATGACGACACTACATAACGAACCGCAACGTTCTTTCTCTCTGTTTGGTTGCCTATATCAGTATATTGTGCAAATAACACGATAAGACATTGGACCAAAGGTCAAGCACAATCATTACTTGTCCATGCGTAACGCCAAATCGTGTTGTAACGGGACCTATGCCCGTTTGTCCTATGTGCGAAAAATACGCAATCATGAATAGCGAATACACAGGTCTGAGGGTCTCTTTTCCTGGCTCTTTGAATAGGTTCAGCCCACTCTGAAGCCTACCGCTTGATGAATGCTTAATTAATATATCTATCCTAAATCCAGAATATGCTACCCGTCAAGCTTCAAATCTTTCACCTTAACTCTTAGGTCGAAGCAAGGCGAAAATCTTTTCCTTCATACCCTACAGCAGCAGCAGCAGCAGCAGCATCATAGCTCCTTTTTTTCTTAAATTTTCTAATCCGTTCCAATTCCGTCCTCGTACAACATCGATCAGTCGATATGAATTAACATTAATCAATTGTGCACTTTATACTCCACGCCCATATACACCACTGCGAAAACACCCACTAAAAATACGGCATCCCTGCATCCTGATTCGGCCAATTCTCATTGATTCCATAAAAAAAGAACAGAATTTTCACGAATAGTTAGAATGTTTTCCACTTATCTATCAAGCAAAGTTTACTAGCTTCCTACCAAGGGTCGTCTGCCCCTACCTTTGAACATGTACTTCACATCATAAGAAGTCGCGTGTGGGACACAGATGCTGTGTAAAGGAAAGATCTTAAAGCTAACCGCAATCCTAAAACCTGGACAGCTGCAAAAATTACGCATACTAAACGCAACATCTGGCCCACGTTAACACAAGTAACACCGCTACCTACCCTAGCGTGGACATTCCGGAAGATACCGAAAGCCACGACGCCAATGCCTATTCATTGCGGAAATGGTCAAAGCCCTGTTTTCACCAGTCACCCGTCACATATCAGATATAATTCTCACCGGAGGTTTTACCAATAGCTCGACACCTTTTCGTTTTCAAATCGAATCTTACATCGTCGTTTGCAAACAGAACTTTAGAATAACGTATATTAAGTATGTATAGTCTATAATAATAATATATATTATATAAATAATGTGTGGGCGGTATGAGTGAACATATCATTGCGCCCTCAGGTGTCCTTTGTTTCCGTACCGAAGCTTGTAGTGGTCTTCCGACAGAAAAACACGGCGTCTACTCATATTAATCTAATGTTTTGTCTTTGTTGTTCGTGAGTGGGCAACTCAAGCCAGTTAATCCATTTTTTTTTGCTCGACAGGCAAGTAGAAGACAATAAGCCGATAATAAAATGCCTAAGAAGAAGAAGAAGCGACAATGGTGTGCTGCATTGTAGTGCCGCTTGGGGTGGTGAAAGCATTCGACTCGTCCTAACACCGTCGTAAGCAACAGCCGATACGAACCGGTAAAAGGGCGAACATCCAGCCATTACGCTACCAGCAGTATTAGCCAGTGCAGCTTTATGGGTGCAATCTAAACTGTGTACTTCGGTTTAGTGGCCGACGAGTGTTTGTGCGCTGTCTCCTGATGGGAGTTGTACCCAATGACGACTTGGGAGTTTAGATGAAGACGCTGCTTCATTGTGCGACCTGTAACAAAGTCATAAAAATCCATTACTCCATGACTTTCGCTTGATAACGACGGTAGCGCAAATCCTATCTTGTGTTTTCAACGAAAGTTCAATTGTTAGTTACAGAAAACTTACTCCCCCCCCCGCGCATTTATAATGAGGAACTGGTATAAACCTGGTGTCCCTAATGGGATTAAATGTCGAGACAAGAGCACCTTAAAAATTAAGACTCACTTTTCTGTAAGCATAAATGACCAAACAAAAAACGCGCTGCATGAGTTTACGACAGTATCTGCAAAAGCCTCCATCTATATGCCGGTCATACCTAAAAGAAAATTCACTTACCGAAAATCCACCCAGATAGTAATGAAGAAAACCTACTTCAACGCACAAAATGATGTTTCAATGCTTACCGATTGCTAGATTGGCCTCTTTCGAGCTGGCATCCGCGGTCCATAGCGCAATTTTATCGCCCTTTTGCCGCACATTTACTACGGCACCACAGATATCGTCGCACTGTTCCTCGAAACCCTCTCCAATTAGAAGCAGTAATAATTCTAACCACGAGTTGTCGAGTTCCTGAGCACGGCTCTGCTTGTTGAGCGAAATAAGCCAACGCCCCCCATTAATATTTGCCTCATCCTCCCACATCGGCTTGACGCCCTTCTTAAACACGCAGTAGTCACAGCTAAAACAGCAAGGTTAGTTAACTATATATATATATATATATACATATATGTTGGTGCGCACTATAATCAATGTACCAGGGAAATACCAGCCTTGAAAAGTGCATCATCTTTATATGCAAATTAAATTGAAGCATTAACGCGGAAAGTACCTAATAGCAGATTAGAGGACCACCTGCAGACTTGGCCCCGTGCCCGCTCTTCATGTCTTCATTCCACAATACCGAAGCCAAAGGCGGAGATGTGCATAAAAATTCCGAAATGGCAAAGTATACGGCGCAATACAGCATAAAATGGAATTCTACTAAGTTACACTAATTAGATTGCAACCATGACTACCGTAAAAAAAATTTCAACAATTTAACAAGTGCGCAGACACTATGTGTAAGTAATTTATAGATAGATTACACTATATGCAACACAGAATTGATCAATATTTTATATAATAAGAAAACGTAGTGCTAATATGAAGACAGTTTTCTGTGTTTCGATATTGGAATAAGCCTGTCTCTATTAGAGCAATAAAATATTAGCCTGTCGTCGACTTACCCCTGTGGAATGTGGGAGATAAGCTCGATGTGGTTGTACAACGCCCAAAAATCTTCAACTGTTGAAAATGTCGTAATTTCCAGAAGGTTTTGATCCCATGGCTAAACAGAGACAAATCAGAAAGGAGGCATTGTTATATTTCTGATACATACTCTGCCATTCTACAGCGATATTACTATAGGTAAGCACATTGGACAAACCTGTGATCTTAAATGATAATCCAAAAGACAGCTGCTTGAAATTATGAAACGATTTTTATCACAACAACAACAAATATTGCACACACAAACAAGATGGTGGCTCTATAAGAAAAATGAGAAAAGCTTTATACACACCGACCGTAATTGAAATATACCTTGGATTTATCGTTTTTGTAGAACCAAAACGTCCAACTATTTTGGAGGGGGTGTTTGACCTGCATAGCGGCAGGCACGTTCTCCTTTTGTTCGTTGTTCTGGAAACACCGAAATCAACAACTATTCAGTGAACGTTAATCTGATCAAATAGCATCGACTTGATTCTACTAAAGTGTGTAGATTATTCTATAATAAGTCTGTAGAGATTTCGACTCACAACAAGTCGTCTTGAACATAAGTAGATATTTTCCGTAAGGCCTGCAAGATTGTGAAATGAAAATAACAACCCGGACTGAACAAGCGAATATAAAGCAAATTGCTAACAGTTTTCGAAACACTCACAGTATATCAATAGACTTTTCTTCCGTCCCAAGCCTAGGCGTGATGTTAACTAGATTCGCTCGTTAGCAACGGGTTGGTTTCCCAATTCAATAAAGCCACTTTACACTCATCACATCTTACAGACACCAAGCACCTACGAGTTCAAACTACCAAGCTCAACGGATTTGAACGTTCGTAAAAATGAAACAATAGGTCTACTGAGCTCAGTATTTTGGACTCGGTGAGCCAGCCAAGCCTTCGGATGAATGCCGTCATACCTATACCTCAACTCTGTATTGTATTGACACTTTTTTTCTACTACATATGACGGATACACACGATATATATAAGTATTTTTTCTAGTACGAGGCTCTGTGCAAAAAAGAGTAAATTTTTCGTACAGAGCCTCAGAGAGGTCAATTTGTTACGTGCGTGAAAAATTAATAGATAGATATTGGACGGCGTTCCTGACCAAATAAAAATTGAGTGCGTCTTCCACTAAGCAGGTGCCTTTAGCTTCAAACTTGCCTCCTCTCAGTTTCGCGTTCCAACTCGCCAGATTTGTTTTATAAAAAAGTTACTTTTGATCCCATAGCACTAAAAAGAACCTCAGAGGCTTTAATACGAGCACTACAACTCCATATGCTCTATGCAAACAGCTAGGTTTAGCAGCGTAAAGTGCGCTACGACTTAATCCTAGCCAATTTTGAACACTGAGCAGTGGTCCATCGACGTGCCGTGAAGTCGCTAACGACAAACGCAACACATTTTACATTAAAAGTTAACATTAGTTCAACTTCCCTGTTCCTACCAAACAAGCAATCTGCTCTAGATCTCGAATAAACGCCCTCAGATTTTGCTTTTATTGCTTCAGCATTGACAGGCTTGCTTAACAGATATTAACACATACGTTGACAACAAAACGGTCATCTTTTGTTCTATGAGGCGCTGTGTTTGTGACATTTATTTGAGTTGAAACTGCTCGGACAGTTATTGAAGATCTCTAAACTGGTATCGGCTTTTTTCTATCGTGCTATACAGTTCTAAGGTATGTGCAGTTTCGGCTTCGACGGCCTCCGGGGTTAGAACGACAGAGAAGAATTTTGAATCTATACCGAACGGAGTGGTGATCTAGCTTTTTTTACGCTAGTCATGGCCAATGGCGTTGTAGAAACTAGTGAACAGGTTTTACACAGAGCGCGTTGCGTTCAGATCAACAAACGACCTCCCTTCTATATATATATATATATATATATATATATAGGGCTCTGTAATTGGAGGAAACGTAAAAAAGAACGCCACGGAAAAAGAGCGTGAACGCACCAGCCGGTCTTCAAATTATCGATGATACAGTACGTTAAAAAAATGCTGATGCATTTCCATTATTTCTAAGTTGAACAGAGTTCACCAACGGCTGTGCAAAACCTTTAGCACATTTGAAAGTATAGAAATTCCGTAAAATTCTTTACCTGTCCGTCAGCAGCCATCTTGCTAGCACTGTCCTCAAGCATCAACAATTACTGCGATCCCTTGATGGTCAACCGATTTGAAAGGCACACTGCAATTCTATTTTTGCCGAATTTCCTGGTCAATACTCGTGCCCCTGTGTGATCTCGATTCAGTTAAGTCAATAACTAATCATGCACACAAAACTGGTCCCAAATTTCATTTGTAAGCAACTTGCAATTCCACATATACAGCCAACAGTTAGCTCGTGTGTGGTTCGTCAAGATAGAGACTACATCGGCGCGGAAAATTTGAATATTGTCACCAAAGACGGAGAGTTTTTCCTCGATTGCCCAGTTGTTTGACGCATTTCTACATGCTCTAGGTATGTTAGTCTGTTTCTTTCATAAAAAAAAAATTAAAAAACAAAGTTCTCGTCCCAACAGATCCAGTCAGTTTCAAACTCCCTCCGTCTTTATTCAAAACTCCGGAATTCTTCTTTTCCATCTGCGTCTCTTACTGTTTGCTCAGGCCAAAATCATTACAACAGCCTATAGGGAAGCGTTTGTCCTGCACACGGTAACGTTCTGAATCGTTTCTGGGTCTGTTTCGGAAAGAGATTGTGGGTCAACGTCGTTACCTCGAGGTAGCAGCGACGATTACGGCAGCAGCCTCACCAGCAGAAGCAGCGAGTGCTGGCCGCAGCAGCTGCCGTGGCATAGCAGAAAGCAGCGGACGAAGGAAGAAGTAATCACCGACAACTGATACAACCATCTTGCGTACATAATAACAATAGCGGCCTATAGGCAACGATACGGGGAGAGCGAATGAATGATCGGATGAACGGTTGGACGGATGGACGAACGGACGGACGGACGGACGGACCGACCGACGACGGAGCAACACCGCCGCCGTCAGCACGATTGAGTGAGTGAGTGAGTGAACGGTGGCGGCGACTGAAACATCAGCAGACAGTAGTTGTCGTTCCGATCGCCTGTCGACCGACTTGTGTTAGTGGCGGTGCTGTGGGGTTCGTTGCATTGGTGTCCCCTGCGAGAGAAAGAGGGGTTCAACTGTATCAGCAGCAGTAACAGAGCTCGCTCATCGCATGAACGCAATGTGTATAAGTGTGTGCATGTGTATGTGCAATACACAGTGTTAGTAGTTTTATATACAATGTAAGCAAAGGATACAGCGTAACATATTATGCTTACATATACATGATTATTACCGAGTAAAATTGGTTAACTGCTGTTGCCATTACCTCTAGTACCCTTGACGGAGAGCAGATCAGAGCACAGAAAAAGCAAAGCTCTGATCGGAGGTTATCATACGTAACATAGAAAGTGCTGATATTAGCGGTGATAATTGTGTCCGTGTGTGTGCGTGTGTGTGTGTGTGGGTGCGTTCGTATGTGTGGGGTATTGGCTCGTGTCCTCACAGAGGGGAGAATACCGCCAAAGAACAAAAGGATATTGGGCTGCACACCGACAATAACGAGGATTGCTATTGGATACCCGATTGTCTACTGCTGGATAAACTACCTTCTGCTATTATCTTTGTTGAAATGTTTTAGTCTGAACAGTCTCTATATTGTCGTGAATTTGGCTATATCTCTTTTTCGTTGCTTGAGGTAGCGGTTGTGTAGTCGTTCGATCCTCCACCGTAGACTCAATTGAGCTACGACGACGTCAGAACAGAAAAAGACGACTGCATTAACTACTGTAACTGTTGCGGTGGCTGAGATTTTCGCTCTGTTCTAAGGTTTGTACTTATCAATTATTAAGAATTCCTACTGGGATTGGGGGAATAAACGTCGTTGTTCTTGTTCAACACGCTACCGCCAGCACCAGCGACACCCAGATTGTCAACGCTCAGGACCACGATTAAACGTTGCCACTGAATGTTGTCGTTTTAGTTGTTGCAGTCGTTTGCCCTAGTCTTGTTCTCACGTTTACGCCGATACGATACATCGTTATTCGTTTGGCGTAGGAACGAACAATAGTACGTTAGCTGTGCTGCTAAGACGTCAACACTGCCGAGCCAGTTTCAGCAAGTTAGTGGAGAAATAGCAAGCATCCGCCCAGAAATTTTGCTGGTCCTGCTAAAGACATTGAGCTTTCCACGTTCTGGATCGTGTTTCCGCTTTGCCCAGATACTGTGGATATGCATGATTACGAAATTGCTGGAGAGCGACAGCATCCAAGGTAACAACGGCAGAGGCGGCAGCAACAACAACATAGAATAAGGGCCAATGGAAGTAACAGTAATAGCATAAGATAACGACTGAAGACGTAAACAACGGCGACTCCGACGTAGATACTATCAAACCTGTATCAGGGTAAAAGAGGTCAACTCTGATCAAAGCAAGTCTGCGTTTCCGGATGCAACGAACCAATAGCTGTTGGCAAGCCGTTCTAACAGCAGCAGTTATCGACGACGAAATCCCTAACCGAAATCGATACGTCGTCTTTGATGTTGTCCTTATAGGCTCTATTAATCGCTAGGAAAGAGCCTGCCGTCCGGCAGCTAGACGTATGCACGGTTGGTTAGTCAGTCAGTCTATCAGCGGAGGACCTAGCTTCTCTCTGTCTGTCAGCCTGAGACGAAGTTTTTGAAGAGAGCGCGTTGTATAGACAAAAGCACAGTAGTCGCTTGTTGACACTATCGTGCTCTTTCAGCGATGGTGGTGTTTTCACACCCATTTTGACACTTTTGACATTTCTGGCGACACTAAATGTAGTCCGTGACAGATGTCATTATACGTCGTAGTTTGTATCAGCAGCAACGGCAACGGGAACAACAAAAACAATACCCACTAGTGCTGTGGCCAGCGTGCGTGCTCAGTCCAACTCGATTCCGACGGCGACAACTACGGAAGTAGTTGGGAAGTAAAGCAACAGTTGCAGCCACTTAATTCTCGTCTCTTTCCGCGCGGCAACAGTTCGTTGACAGCAGAATCTCATGGTCTCATTGGACATTGGACGTCGCAGAAGTTTTCAATAGGTGGGCCAACAAACCTAACAGTAACGAGGAGAGAAAATTTAGCCATTTTTTTTTTAGATAAGGGGTAAGAGCAATATAGCTACAGGAATATCTCGCCAACATTTAGCTGCTGCATCATCCGATATCCTATTTAAACATTTCAAATCCGTCGGGTGACCTTCCGCTAATCTGTTAGCGTGTTGCTGTTGCTGTTGTCGTCGTTGTTGTCGTCGTCGTTTTTGTTTTTGTCGTCTTCGTCGTCGTCGTCGTCGTCGTCGTCGCCGCCGCCGCCGCCGCCGCCGCCGCCGCCGCCAATTATCTGTCCGTCTCTCCACAGCAGCCGCTACCAACAATTTCGAACGCTGGCGGTAAGAGTGTCATAGCGGCAAACTAGCGGCCATAGGTGATCGAAGAGAGTGTAACTTGCCGGCGCTCCTCCGCGACGGGTTTTCGAGGGCTGTGATTGAGACCGGTTGAGTACCAGTAGTAGAAAATCGCGTGTGCCCGCAGCTACCCCGTTGCGTGACTGTGTACCTGTTTATAGTCACCGCTAGCGGTGGCAAGAGCGGGACGAATCTATCTTCCACCCGCTGGCGGCCCTTATTTCATTCTCTCTTTGGTTACGGCAGCAGCGGCGGCGGCGGCGGCGTCGTCATCATTATCGTCGTCGTCGTCGTCGTCGTCGTCGTCGTCGTCGTCGTCGTCGTCGTCGTCGTCATCGTCGTCGTCGTCGTCGTCGCCGTCGTCGTCGTCGTCGTCGTCGTCGTCGTAAGTAGCTGCTGTGGAGCTGGTGATTGCAGGGACAGTATCGCGCTCCATCGCTCCGTGCCGCGCCGTTCCACTATTACTGTCATCATCGTGGCCAGCCACCTGCCATACAGACGTGCTGGCGTTGCGTTGGCGCGCCAGCGTATACACGACGACGTGTTTTTCACTCGGTATCGCAATCAAAAGGTTTACCACCATCAGCACTCTTACCTCACAGGCTCGCGTCCTAGCATAGGCAGTGAAGTAGCCAAACCAACGCGTTCATAACGTGTGTTTTCGTCTTTGTGATGAAACGCCGACGTAGAGCCTGCTGGTGACCTGTAGATTTCTTTGAGTAGATGTGTGTACTGCTATAGAAGTTGCGTGCCGAAAAAGTTAGTTAGTTCTAAGTCAGTGGTTTGTTTGTCAACGTACGTTGCCGTTTACCTGTCCGTTCAGTCTAGTTCAGTCCCGTTCGTCAAAGCGGTGTTTAGTAGCTGAATTTGCCAACTATACAAAGATAACCAACGGAGAAACTTAGCAAAAGTATATTAATCACCACATATAAGTTGAGCCAGAAGCAACACAAAAAAAGGACATGCATCGATTATTTGCAGTAACTGAATAGGACAACAACAACGGCAGCAGCAGCAGCGGCGGCGGCAGCAACAAATCTGATTAACGACAACAACAACAGTAACGACAACTTCAATGCGTGCTTCACAGGGGGAGGGGGGATGACACAATGCCATTATCGTCATCGGTGTCATCTCATCACCTTCGTTGCCATCGTTGGTTTTCGCGACCGTTCGTGATCTCAGCCCGACTGTTTCAGCCGATATTCTTGATGGTGTGATCCAGCTCATTCCTCGACTGCTAGTAGCGTCGCCATCGTCTTGTTCGGGCTCACCATCGCAACAGCAGCTGTTGCTACTGCTGGCGCTCATTTGGTGAGCTTCTTCTTCGCGCTACAATCGCCGTTGTCTCTGTCATTTTCTTGTCACGGTCGCTGAAGTTCTTCTCTTCTCGCTGGTGTGCGGAGAGTCCTCCTGTCTGAGTCGTCGGCGATCTACGTTCGTTCGGCAACGAGCACCATCGCGCTCGTCGACGTCGTCTTCGGTGCCGCCTCCATTGATCAACTGGTGCCGTCGCAGCAGCAGCGGTAGAAACCAGCAACTGACGACCTACTCCGGGCGATATCCGACGTCGACACCGAACGGCAACAAAAGCCGCCGGGAGCAACAAAACGAGTGAACATATCGACAACAAGTCACGGGGGTTGTGCTTTTGTGGTCGTCATAGTGATCGAGGTCGCTAGCAGTGCTGCTGATGGTAAAGCAAGTAAATAAGTGTGGAAAAATGTGGCGGCTATCGAGCAGAAGTTAGTTAGCCGAGCCAGTGGTGATGTGGTGCTGAATCAAGCAGGTGCGCTCTGACCTGCCAACTTGTTGTTGTCGTTGTTGCTTACGGAGGAGCAGAAGAGCGTCTTCATGTCGTCGGCTGCAGCAGCGAAAAGTTCGAAATAGTGAGCAGTCAGTCGTTCCATCGAGAATATCTTCATCCGTTGTCAGGGTGTCATTCCACGGAACCAGCGAAGATCGAAGGAAAACGCCAAAGTGCCACTCATATGCTGCTGAAGTGAACAACAACAACAACAATACCATTTTTCGCGCTTATTGCGTGCGTGATTAAGCTTTCAGAACAGCTTGCTTAGCAAAAGAGCTAACTGCGGCAGTAGCTCCCAGCTAACGGAGGCTGCCGATTAGTCTCTAGCCGTTGTTTTTCGGCTAGGGGCGCAGTAGCTGTCTGGGCCTGCAGTTGATCTTGCATTTGCTTCGCTACCAAATATCATCAAGTAATCAATAATCATGCGCGAGTTCAAGGTGGTGGTCTTAGGTTCAGGAGGTGTCGGCAAATCCGCCCTGACGGTGCAGTTCGTCAGCGGCAACTTCATGGAGAAGTACGACCCGACGATCGAGGACTTCTATAGAAAAGAGATCGAAGTCGACCAGGCGCCGTGCGTGCTCGAAATCCTCGACACAGCCGGCACCGAGCAGTTTGCATCGATGCGCGACCTGTACATCAAGAACGGGCAAGGATTCGTCGTCGTTTACAGCATAACCAGCCATCAGACCTTCCAGGTTCGTGACAAAACAATTACCCATTATGTAGGAAAGAGTAACAAAATCAGCACACACAAGTAAGCGGGCAGCTAGAGTAGAGATACCATACGTAGCCATAGGAACGGAATATCATAGAAAATGCGTGCTTACGTTGAATCATTGTGGTAAAATCAAATTGCTTGACAGGCAGAAAGAGGTGGGCGGGAGCGAATGGGCGTAATAGAACGAGCGAATCGAGAGCTCTTCCAACTAGCACCCAGCCCAGGGAGACAGATACACGGCCTCTAACACAGGCCTAGCGTCACCAAACGAATGATTCCCAGCAGCTAAACAAGGTGCTAGTGGCGGCTCATTGTCTCTAATTAGAGACAGGCTGGCAGTTAGAATTCGAGTTCGTTCTGGTTCGCGAAGCTCCTTGCTCGCGCATCAGTAGCGCTGAATTCCTGCATTGCGGCATAACCGAAAAGCTGTTTTGTCGGGAAAAACGAGAGAGAGCAGATGGCGTGATTGGATTATTTGTCATAGTGAACAGTGTCACACATCTGTCTTTCGTAGAATTTCGTGTGGTCGTTTAGCGCTTCAACGAATTGGATTCATTGTGCTTTTGCATTTCAGTAAACGTCGAATACTTGAGTCGGATACAGCGAACTGTCATCAATTTGTGTGGATAGAAATTTCTAGCGCGCTACAAATTTCCGCGTTTAAATTTAGTCCATAATACCGGTATAGCTCGTAATCTGAGTCGTGAGTTGTAGCTTGTCCAATATGTAGGACAGCGCTGCGCGAGGTAAAAGGCCATTTGTCTCGGGTCGCGTGACAGATGGCGATCTCGATTTACGCCCTCTTTCATTGCTGAGATGGCCATTACCATTTTATCATGGAGTTGAACGAAATACATTAAGATCTTTAATTAAATAGTACTGTGACAAAACAAGCCTGTTCAAGCGGACCTGATCGAAGTCTATGCCCGTGGGCGATGGTACATGTTTTCAAGGCAAAGCTAGCTCATTTTAACCTAAGGAACTTTTTGCTATCCGTCAACTTCAACAGTGTAATTGTGTCGCGGTCACTTTTAAGTAGAAGAGAGTGTACCTAATTTTAATAGTAACGAACCCCCCAACCTAAAACGAGACATCAATTCGGACGTGGTGAACCGCGATCTTTTAGATTCTTGAAACACTTACGTGCGATGTCTATAAGCAAGATTGATCTTCAGAAGACTCACTAATTGTTATGTGACCTATACGCACGATTTTATGCCAAG